GATTTTATATAAACCAATATACAATGTTTGGTCCAAAACTCAGGATGTGTGCCAATTTTGTACATGCCAATTAGATGCACAAATTGAGATGTCATGAATATTGACACTGCTGATACCAATTCTGTTAAACTTGAAATGTTCTAAGCATCATGGTATTTTGCAACAGGATCTCAATGAACATTGCAAATGAATTGACTTGTAGTATTAATTATCTAAATCCTGACTTCTTAAGTACTGTAGTAAAAAATACATATGGGGGGGTCAGTGTATTTAAAATATATTCAGATTTTCTGAATAAGCTGATATATGATATATGAGAAATGATCTCTTAAATGCAATTATTTTAACTTGAGATGTGTTGGGTGGTATTCTAAGATTCACTATTAAAAAATGTTAGATCCAGAGATTATATTTTGACTCAGGCATTCTTGTATGAATAATAGCCTTTATAAAGTTATATCAGTTATAAAGAATGCAGAACTTCCAGCACTCTATGCATCTGATGAAATGAGCTTCAGTTCACAAAAGCTTATGCAGTTTATGAAATTTGTAGTTAGAAAACATGCTACCAAAATTCTAAAGCACACATACGGTAACTATTTTTTTTGGTTTGTGTCATAGGAGCTTGGGCTCCTTCAATTAAATTGCATGTGTATAGATTTAGGTCAAGAAGGAAAGAATTTCTTCTAACAGGATGGATTTAATTTGGGAAAAAACAGTGTCAATGCAATACAGTGATTAATTCAAACAGCTACTTAGAAGAATTGGACAGTTATTAAAACCTATTAGTTTGGTTAGGTGGAATTTTTGTATTTGGAGGCTGCATGCCTAAAGATTAGATGCTGGACATAAACATAATGACTGTTACTTTTATGTCAGGCTTGTTGTTAGTTTTCTAAGAACTATTGCTGGACAGTGATGAAACCAATGATTGAGAAAATGGAAAGCAGAACTCTGTGGATTCTCATAAAAAGGTCTTTATAACTGTAACAGATATGGAGGCATCTCTTCTATAAAAGAAAGAGAGTATTTGGCTTTCCAACAAAAATAACAGAAAAAGTCTTTTGTGTATGTGTATGTGTGTGTATGTGTGTGTGTGTGTGTGTGAGAGAGAGAGAGAGAGAGAGAGAGAGAGAGAATATGAATTATTACTGAAGCAATTCACCGTCTATGAATGTTTAAATTCTGAATTATTACTTGCCCTGAAATCTAAACATGCTTTTCTGTTTATATATTATTTAATTTTTTATCTATTTCTAATGGTAAGCCAACATTCTTGTTCAAATAAATGTGCCAATATAGATAAAATCACATACATTATAATACATGTGGACAGCATTTTTTGTTTTTGAAATTGTAAAAGTGCCTTATTTATTTGCATCAAAAATATAGAAAGTTATTAGTAGGGAAATATTGGAAGAAAGATTCTTTGCCTACTATAGAAGATTGGACGCTTAAGGTGTCAAATTTAGCAGAAATAGCAAAAATTTCTGCTTACTTGAAGGATCACTCACAAGAAAGATACATTTCGGTTTGGAGAAGATGGATAGATTATATTCAGAATAAATATGGGATTAAAAAGTTTCATTTAGCCTATGAGTAAATTTTAGAGTATTATTAATAGTTTCTTTTTAAATTTTTATTAGTTTTAGTATGGTTTAACAATATTGATTTGTTTATATTATTATGTTTATTTTTAATTTGTCTATATTTATGTTAAAAGGGAGTTAAAGTGCGTTATGGACTTGGTTATTTGTATAGCTCGGTAATGTTTTTTAGAGTTTGATTGTTTATATGTAACCCTGTACTCAGCTCTCGTAAATGGGGGCGGTAGGGGTGGGGGGGGTGTTGGGATGTATACTGTGTAAAACTTTTCAATTATATATATAGTTTCTGAAAAAATGATGGAAGACCAGTTAGCCCAGACTTTTATCTCTCTGAACTATTATAATCTGAAAAGGTAAAACTAGGATATATAAACAATTTGCAAGAAAGAAACTTTAAAACAAATCTCATGTTTTTACTTTGCGTTCATCTCTCAATTGTGGATATAAGAAAACAGTTCCACTTCATGAACCTGGAGCAACTATGCAATGGGCAGTAGTTAACTTTTCAATGCCAGTCATAATTTATATAATAAATAAATTTGACTTAACTTAAATTATATAACAGAATTTAGTAAATTATATAACAGAATTTAATATGGATCACAAATCACAAATGGATTTCCAGAACTCATATACTAAATCAGTTCAGGATCTATTTTGTAAGTAATATGTGCAGGGTCCCCTAAACTTTTGGAGATCAATGCAGTGACAATAGGTTTTGCAGTTTTACCACTATTAATTGAGAGGTTGAAAGCAGTACCACATATTAGATACCTGTAAAAATTAGGATAATTTTTGAGCAGAAATGTAAATGAGAGACAGGAGTTTAACTTTTGTTTTTTTTCTTTATTCTTCTGCTTAATACATTTCCAATCTTTTTCCCAATGAGTTTCAGATTTTGTACTTCCCTATTTTATGGATGGGAAAAATTGCAGGGGATTTATAGGTGGGTAAAAATAATTGTTCTGTGTTCTTGGTACTTCAGTTGTTGTTGTTTTTTTGAGTGATTGTACGCCAACAAAGCTGTTATAATCACTCTATGTAATATTACATAAAGTTTTGGATACATGCATTTATGCAAAGTAATCCAACCCTGGGCCTAATCTATAAATTCAATGGTCAGTGAGTTGTAATTTCTAAATCATGTTTGGACTTATAAGGTAAACAGCATTGCATATGATACAACAATGCAAAATTAGTTGTTCAATTTCTAATGAACAGAACTTTCCCAAAATTAAAAAAAAGAATCATATTAGCTTTATTGAAATCTCATGTACAAAATGGTTCTCCGCAGAATTTCAATCTATTATTTAATGACAGCTTGAAAGGATTGTCTTATTCTATTATATAATTAACATGGACATCATGCATATAAATATTTTTTTAATGGGAACACTTTTACACTTTTGGAATTAAAGAGTTTGAAAAACAGATGGTTAAAATTGTGAAATGGATTTTCAGGGACCTTCCAAGGCTTTCTGCTTCCACTTGTACAAGAAAATCAGAAGGGAAAGTTCGTTTAAGGATTGTCATCTTCACAAAATCCAGATTTCTCTGTTGCAGCCATCTCTCTCTCTCTCTCTCTCTCTCTCTCTCTCTCTCTCTCTCCCTCCCTCCCTCTCTCTCTCTAACAACATTCAGCATTTAGCATATAATTTCCAGCCTATTAATTTTATGACAGCCATTCAAATGCGTCTTTTAAAAAGAGAAGTCAGGAAGTGGAACTATAAATAACAGGATTTTGTTTTGTTCTTCAGGTATCAACATTTTTGTAATTGCAATTATAACTGTGAATTGTTATTTATTTTAGTGTTTTAGCCTTTTTAGTATAAGAGGGAAATATAAGTTGCTTAGAATCTCTTTGACTGAGTGGCATACACAATCTAGTAAATAAATTTAACAATGTTTATAGATAATTTTAATCTGTAGAAACTGCAGACCCTGTTCCATGTTAGATGAACTTGAGAACACATAGTGTATTTTAGGCATTTCTGGCTCATCCATTTGCCAAGAGGGAAATTTTTAACCCCACAAAAGTGGTTTGATACTTGGTTTGACGTATAGGAAAATTTTTATATATGGTACCAGCCAGTTGCAACATACATTTTTGGAGAATGTAGATCAGTGGTTTGCAACCCATTGTGCGGAAGCATTTTCTTCTCATTTCTACAAAATAAGCATAGGCTTTGGGTTTGCAAAGCACGCTGATAAGAAACAAGATGACATCAAAATTGTGGGAAGCAAATGAGTATTAGTTAGGATGAAGTTATGGGCTGGGAACAGAAATATTAAATTACAAGTTTTGGATTACAGGAGGAGATAGATTTTACATTTAAATGACTCCCTTCAGTTTCCGGTGTGCAATACTTTCCATTGTTAACTAATGCGCTACTTTTTTTTTTCATATAGTCCTTAGAAAGTATGAAAGTCACATAATGTAAATTCAGAATCGTAACATATATTCAAAAAAGACACTTCTTGAAACAAACTAATTTAATAGACATTTTTTAACCATTGCATTTGTTACTGAATCTTTTCTAGGATCTACTGTAGTTGCCTAAGATATAGTGAGTTTTCTAACAAAAGCTTTTCAGTAATTTCAGGGATTTTTTTTTTTTTTGAGAGAGAAACAAGTCATAATTCTTAAAATAATGGTAAACCTAGTAATTAAGATATGCCCTACATTTCTGCTCGAAGCATGTGGAACTACAAGAAGCAACGGATGGAAACTGATCAAGGAGAGAAGTAACTTAGAACTAAGGAGAAACTTCCTGACAGTTAGAACAATTAACCCGTGGAACAACCTGCCTCCAGAAGCGGTGAATGCTCCAACACTGGAAGTTTTTAAGAAGAGACTGGACAGCCATTTGTCTGCAATGGTATAGGGTTCCCTGCCTAAGCAGGGGTTTGGACTAGATGACCTCCAAGGTCCCTTCCAATTTTACTATTATTATTATTATTACATATAGGACAGGATCAAAATATAATGTATTTAGTATGACCTGATATGTCTACATTTGATTGATTATGTACATCAAGTCAGTGATGACTCCTATTGATGCATAAATAGATTTTATCCATGAATATATCTTTATTACTTTGAAGTTATCTTTACCTCCTTCCCTGTTTAACTTTATATAAATCCTGTGGTAGATCTGATTATTGAGGGAAAGTTGTGTTTCCCATGATCATTTATTTTTCAAGAACATTATATATTCATTTTTCAAAAGGAATTGTTTCCTACCAATAAATTTCACATATTTTTGGAAACTGTATTTAGGTGCAATAATTTTTTTAGAAAGTCTATTTTATTCAGAAATTCTGCAGGTATACATTCAGGAGGTATTCCTGTGAACAATTTGTATTTCCAAATATCTGTATTGTATGTATAGGAGTTTATTTCAACTATTGATGTTTATTATTTCAAAAGAATTCCTCTAAATGTTAAAAATGAAGGTTGCACTGTGATCATCATTTTTTACCCTTATTTTATCACTTGACAAGGCAAAACACATTCATATGCCACTGACCATCAATTCCCTCTGATTAATATATCTTTGGATCACTGAGAAAAATATTTTTTTTCTGTAGCAAACATGTGAGGTTGGGGGAAATGTGCACAAGCATGTTATAACCAAACATGCACACTCATGTAGAAAATCCAAGTGGAGCAAGTTTCTCAATGAATACACATGGATGTTTAAAAGCACGTGTACATAGATATTTTACTTGCCAAGCTTCCTATTACTGATGTTATTTTCTAGGAATTGTGTTTTTCTTTGCTGTGGCACAGTATATTCTTTATACAGATCTATAATCCTAGTAATGAAATGCAGATTGCTGAATTCTTCAGAAAAAGAAGTGTAACACGTCTCAAAATCATATTAGTAATAGCAGTGTTTTTTTTCTAAAAAAAGAAGGTGCCGGAACTCACACACATCATACAACCCGCCTTGCCTACCTTACAAGGTTCCATCCAAAAAAGGTGCTGGGACTCCGTTCTGGGCGTTCTATGAGAAAAAAAGCCCTGAGTAATAGTAAGAATCACGTAGGATGGACTTTACAGCCACATTTGGCCAACAATAAAGGCTATGGCAGAGGTCCCCAACCTTTTGGGCACCAGGGACCGGTTCCGTGGAAAGAGGAAGGTTTGTGGTTTTGTGTGCTGCCTGCATCCCGCGGATGGGGCTTTGCTTGTTTGTGCAGACCAGTTGCTGGCATGCCGCAGCCCAGTACTGGTCCATAGACCGGGGGTTGGGGACCCCCGGGCTATGGTATGTTTTAAGAGTCTCTTGAGTATTTTATGTTGTAGAAAAAAATATAAAGAAATAAAACTAGCTTGTTTTATTTATTAAATAAAATTATATGGCCATGAATCTATCAGAAGGAACTTTGGATGGCAAAGAAAAATAAATAATAATTTAAAAAAATGGAAAAACAATAGTTTATAATGCAGTTTAAAATGCTAATTTAACAAGAATTTCAAATTAGTCTTAATTTGGAAACCTCAAAGAGATAGAATCAAATTCCATGTCAAGATTCTTTTTTCTTATAATAAATTAGGATTTCATCTATGTCAGGGTTTTCGAGGTTTGATAATAGCAAAAACAGAATTAGCACGGTTGCCTAAGAAATTACAAATTTGGCTGAAATTTATATTGCACAACTGATTTAAAATACGAAAAGTAATTGTTCTACAGTTAAAATGAGTTATTTTCTAAAGATCGACTCTGCCTAACAAAACAATCCCCATACGAACTACAATTAAACTACAACTCCCAGCATGCCTCACAGTCTCCTATGTTAGGCTAAGTAGCCATTTCCTTTGGAAAAAGGAGACACAGCAAACAAGAGAAACTGCCTACAACTCCCAAAAGGCTATGCAGACCCGCCCCCTTTCCGGAAAAGCAAAATTTACATTTATACGCCGCCCTCTCGCTGTTAAGTGATTCTAGGCAGTTTACATGATCAAGTAGTACAATACAGTATTCCTTTTAAGGCAATAAGAAACAATGCTTTTCAGTTTGAGGAGATTTTTAGATTGTATGTAGATACTAGATTGTATGTAGATACTAACTACTAACTAATGGAACTCTGTTTTTGCAAATATTTCAGGTAATAAGACTTCCATGGAAATAATAACAATAATGGAATTGAGAAATTGTGAATCACCACATATGTTGAAAGTATATGTATATTATTTTTAGACAAATGGAAATACATTTGCTCTTCTTTCCATCTAATAGTTCTCTGCTAGAAAAGCATCTAATGTGTTTTTAAAACTTTATATCGGAGACAGAGAGAGGAAGAATCCATGGCAGTTATAGACATTGCTTTTTTTGTCAGGCACTTTTAAGACTTAGGTCTTGACCATATAGAGAAAAGGTGATTGAAATGTATGTTGATTTGATTAAATTTTATTCCAGATATTACCAATTCTCAATGCCTGGTTCCAAGGCATCCTGTTCACAAAGTTCCAAGATAATATTTCAGCCTAGCCTGAGAATAACTAACCAGAATCGGCCATCTGTGGTGATACGGGCTGCATCATATAAGCAACCAGTAAGTCATTGTGACAGTAAAGGTGGGCCTGTTATGTAGCTGATAAGGCTTCCTGAGAAATCTATCCATCCATTTCTGTTGTTTTGCTTTCAGACAAGGTTTCTTGGAAGTGGTGTGCCCTTGCCTGCTTCCTAGAGCTGAGGGACTAACCCAAGACCATGCAGCTCGTTTTGTGCCTAAGGCAGAACAGTCTCCCAATTTTTAGCCTGATGCTTTAATCACTATACAAAACTGGCTCTCAAAAGATCTACATTAGAATTCTGATTCTCCAGAGATATAACTTGATCTTGGGTATGCATATAATTTATCAAAAATATTTTTAATACTACCTTTCTTGAAAATATTTGATTGCTAACAAATAGTTAGATATGAATGTAAAAGCACCAGTTGTTAACACACTGAACATAAATATATGCAGAATAAGAGCTTAACTTACCAGACAATAGAGGATCAAAAGAGAACTTTGTACTTTCTACATCTTTGCATTTCTAGCTCATTAGCAAGTCACAAAATTTTCCCAACAATCCACTGAACTGCTGTACAAACTTATATGCTCATTAGCCTTTAGAGTGGCATGTGAACCAATTCTATATTTTTGGAGACACCAAGTGGCAGATATTTGCCTTGTGAACTGTTGAGAATTATAGAGCTGTCTGGATCCAGCAGTAAAGGGCATGGTTTGAAAATGAGTGCTGAGCATGTGTCCTGGATATATAAGGAGAAAGGCTCAGGATAATTCTGCCTTATGATCATTGGACAGCCTTCACCAATGCAATGTGTTGGGGCTCTGACTGCCAGTTGGGTAGGCACTGGCTTGCCCTCAGAAAATAGAGGTGCTTCAGGATTTGGGACTTGGAGTTCCAATATTAAGTTTTTACTCCACACATTTTTTACTCCCCTCAGAACATCCATGTGGATAGCAGTCAGCAGTTGCAACTCCTCCTGCCGCTTGCTGATTCAGTCTTGCCACCAAATCTTCAGCCAGCAAGCTCAAACCACGACTTAGCATCTCGTAAGTAGAAGCTGGGGAACCAGGGCACAAGGGCCTGGAGCTGCTTCCCTGCCTTCCTCTTCTTTCTAACCAGTTGTGTTTCAGGGATTAACACTGGAAAAAAGGACTGGGTTCACCAGGCTGCTCTTACTACATCACCCACCAGAGAAAACTCTCAAGGAAAGCAGCTTCGCACAGATTCCACCTCTTGCTTGCACCAGTACCAGGAAAGGTGAGCCAGTCCATCTTCACTACCTCTGCCTATTTCTTCCACAAAAAGCATCCCTCCCAGATATTTATACAAATATTAAAGCAGAGGTTTTGCTATTTCCCATTACAATTTGGTCCACTGCTGCAATTCTTCTCGGAGTTCAGAAGGTTTTGCTAATCCTTTGAATAGCGGAAGGTGAATGCTACAGATGGAATTATAGGCTGACTCTGCCAACAAAATGAGATGAAGCAGTTGCCCTAAGTGGCAATTGCCATTTGACTTGCCATTTGAGTTGCTCCATATGTTTTGGGCAAAAGCCAGCTTGGTGTAGTGGATAAGGCATCAAGCTAGAAACTGGGAGACCATGAGTTCCAGCCTGCCTTAGGCACAAAACCATTTGGGAGACCTCAGGCAAGTCACTCTCTCTCTCAGTTCTAGGACACAGACAATGGCAAACCACTTCCAAAAAAAGCTGCTAAGAAAGCTGCAGCGATTAGTCCAGGTAGTTGCGAGGAATCAAAACTGAAAGGCCCATTGTCAGTACCCAATATTCAGTTTTCAGTTTACTTGCTTCGGTACAGGGAAAGTGATCTCTCTGTGGTGATTTTATCTTGTCCTCTGGCAGGAAAAAAAAGTGTTTGACCATGTCTGCATTCAGCTTACTTAATAGAGAGTTCTACATTGGTGTTCACATACTAGTTCTACCTGTTCATTCACATATCACACAATTACTTACAGTAATGTACACTAACATGCTGTAGAGGCAGGACACGGAATTAAGGCAACTAGCTCAGCTACCAAACCCACATCTGCAGTTTCATTACAGCTTTCAGAATTCTCATCCAAAACACAGGGAGAGAATTCTGAGAGATGTGATCCAACACATTTGAAAGAGGCTAGAATGGAGCAAATGACTCAAAAATTGTCTGCACAACCCTTGTATGGATGGAAATCTAAAGGACCATCAGTCTTCAGCGGTTTCTGTTTGGACTCTAGGATTAAGCAGAGTTGGAGTGCTCCAGGTCGCATCCATTAAGGAGTACCACCCAGTGGTACCACCTAGAAGCTTGCCTTCTTTCTCATAGCATCTCCCTCTAGAACAGGGGTAGGCAACCTTGGCTCTTTTATGACTCGTGGACTTCAACTCCCAGAATTCCTGAGCCAGCCACAGTTGCTTACTCCTGCTCTAGAACAACACCCACCCCTCAAGATATATCTGGCCCTACCCTGGCCATGCTTCTGAAAACCAAGCTCTTCCTCAGACCTTGTATTAGAGTGTGTATTGAGTCCTATATAATAGTAGTAGTAGTAGTAGTAGTAGTAGTAGTAGTAGTATTAATAATAATATTAATACAGTTGGAAGGGACCTTGGAGGTCATCTAGTCCAACCCCTTGCTCAGGCAGAAAACCCTATACCATTTCATGTGTGTTTCATTGTTTTTTTAAAAAAATTGTGGGTTTCCCCCCCCTCAGGGTTAGGATTTTAAATGGTATTTTATATCATTGAAGCTTTAGAAGAGTTGGGACTTTATAATTTAATAAAATAAAATAATGAACATGTTGCACATAGGCTCGACAGTTGCATAAACAAGTTCTCCAATTATATACAAAACGTTTCATGTATAGATAACCGGATTTGGAGAACCGAGTTTATTGCTTCATGTGTATTCATTTCCTACTTACATTCATTAGTAACATGGCACTATGTTGGCCCCATACCACAAACACAAGAAAGGCATATATTGCTTGTTTAAAAAAGTTGCTGGGGATAAATTCTAAACATTTTTAGGATGCTAACCAGCCAGTATGGTTGAACAAATGAAAACTATGTTGAGACAGCCTGAACTAAAAGATACTGTCTAAAAAATATCTGGATGGTATTGGGCTATTATTACTTGCCAGATTCTGCCCTAGTTCCATTCTTCTCCCATCAGATTCTGCCAGCCTGGTGTGGCCTCCCTTTCCTGCTCAAGGATAACGAGGACAGTCTTTTAAATGAAAAAGTTGGCCTTAGGGTGCAAATTATGGACTGTTTTCAGACTGATCAAAATAACTCAAATTGTGTAGTGAATGGGGCATTCTCCTTGGCTTGGGTGGCTTTTCGCTCTGCTCTGGGTCCAAATAGGCTCAATTCCTGAACTGCCACATTCAGCCAGATCCCTCTTTGAGCCAAGCAAACATTGTTACCATGGTGCCCCACCCAAAGCTCCTCTAGTTCCCAGTCCCTGTCCTTGAGGGTCAGGGATAGAATATTAGGAACTAGCAACATTAACTACTGTATAGGTAGCTCTTGATGTACAACACTTCATTTAGTGACCATTCAGTTACAATAGCACTGAAAAAAAAAGAGACATGGCCATTTTTCACACTTACGACCATTGTAGCATCTCCATCTTTACGTGAGCAAAGTTCAGATGCTTGGCAATTAACTCATATTTATGACAATTGCTCTGTCCCAGGGTCATGTGATCACCTTTTGTGACCTAACAAGTAAAGTTAATGGGGAGGCCAGATACACTTCACAACTGTGTTACTAACTTAGCAACTGTAGTGATTCTCTTAACAGTTGTGGCAAGAAAGGATACAATATAGAGCAAAATTCAAATTTTTTGGCTTCAATTGTGGTTGTAGGTTGAGGGCTACCTGTAGTATCAGGTTTAAATGCATAGGGTGGCTATTTTTATAAAGCACTTTTTTTTTGCAATCTAATTTGAACAATAGCAAAAGTAGTTCTTAACAGCTGCTGACAATCTTACCTGTCTATTAGAATTTCACACTTCTGCATTTCTGCTCTATTATTTTAATAACTACACAGATTTGCAGGACATGCATTTAATTGGGAAAGATGGAAGAAAGCTTCTGTTTCCAGCCTCAAATCATGTTCTTTTAATTTCAGTTAGATTCCACCTCTAAATCATAATTGAAATCTTATGAATTCACTACAGGTTAACACACAGAGCTCTAATCCCAGTTCTGATGAACCATAACCACAAAAAGAGAGCCCAACTCTTTCAGAATTGCTTCTGAATTTCTCAGCTTCTCCTCCTTGCTGAAATGCCTTGTACTATCAACTTCGGAAGGGAAAGGTGATGACTCTGGCAACTCCTGTTTCTGTATTCAGTGGATGGAAGGAAGATTCTAGGTTGAATGTAATCATTTACACCCACCAAGCAAAACAAAATTTTGCTTTACTGCTTCTTCAGGATTCTCACTGTCTTGAAGCTGGCACTGATTAGAAGCAATCATAGGATAGTAGTTTCAGTTTCGCATGCCTGGTTGAATGCAATCAAGCTGTCTGTATTCTGCACGAAGTTGCTATTACAGTGCTCCATCCTGCTTATGTACACAGATGACTCAACAGTGAAACACCACCAGAGAATGACAAAAAAAAAAAAGGAACTTTGAGGGTCAGTGATCAATATAAGGTTTGAAAAAAGTGGTAGTTGGGTGATACGACTAAAATGGCCTGTGGCTATTGTCATTTGCAGAGCCACATACAGGGAATGCCGAGCAGATAATACTGAGTGGCAAATGCAAGAGGAGTTGGTGCACAAATTAGAAGATCAGGTGAGTGTAATCTTGGCAGAAAGGGACATGCTTAGAGGAAATCACGTTCCACTGACTAATCTAACTGTACCCAGCCTAGATCATCTCCCACAATTCTTAGCTATGGCTATGCTAATTGGGGGATTCTGGGAGATAAAGCCCATAAAACTGAAATACTCAAGATGACCTAAATCAAACTGAGTTCTCCGTGTTATGTTACTTCCATAACCAAACATAGTAACAAGAGGTATTATTAACAATTTCGGGGCAACCCTTAAGTTTACAAACCTATCACTTTCAAATGGGGAAAAACCTCAAAGCAAGAACCCCCCAAATAGCCAAATATAGTTTAAATGTGTTTACACTTATTGTTCAATCCCTAAAAAGTTGGAAAGAAGAATAGAATGGAATAATTGCAAATACAAATGAAGGCAGAGGCACAATTTAAAGACATCCTTATATTCCCAAGCTCTGGGCTCCATCATTAACTATATGAAGAATTTTCCTATAATATGGGGCCAGATAACATGATAAGTGGGAATATGCATGATGTTTCCTGCATATTCTCCATAAAGTTGAATGATTCATCTAGAAACTGACTGTAGTTTTCCCATCTTTGTTCTGTGATGCAGCTGGTACAAGAAAAGCAGAAACTGGCTGTTATGAGGGCAGAGCTAGCATTAACCTCCCATTCACACTTTCCATACGGATCAGGGCTCATCTTCTCACCACAGACCAAAGGGCCAAGGAGTGAACTCGTGAATGAGATCTGTGTTTCCAACTACCACAGGGTAAACAGCAATTCAGGTGAGAAGTGCATTGTGGGACAGTGGAAGCAGGCTCAATTTCTAAATTTCAGATGTTAAGATTACAGGAGTTTGCCTCAGGATGAAGGATCAAGTTCTGCTATTTGTCTAGAACAGGAGGACAATTACAAAAACCCACCTGGGATGCGTAAGGCTGAAGAGTGAGCATAAAAAAAAGCAGAATGGCGTAGGTGGAAATTGAGCCATTTTGAGTGGGAACAGCTAGACCTACATTCTAAATTCTGCTTCAGAATTCTAGTTTCAGCAATACTCTGACAAAGTGAAATACAGCCTATGTTCTAGGCCTTTACTTTATACAAATAAGAATAATTTATTTGCTTAATATATAGAGGCAGTGCCATTTTACAGCTTAAGTCCATTGATAAACAAGTTTCTGTGCTTTACGAGACTGCTCAGCATGATGGTTAGAGCCAATAGGGAGCTAACCAGCAGCTTCTGGATTTATACTGTAGTGAATTTTTATTTGCTGTACTTGAAGACTTGCTACAAATTGTCAGAGTCAGTTTTTACATCTATAGAAGCAGTATCAGAGTTCTAATATTTAGAAAGCAAATACCTTCAAGAAAGCAGAAAGGAAATAGGACCGGAAGACTCCAGAAAGTAGAAGATTGCCTGAGTAATTACTTTTGTTATCACAGTGAAAAACCCCAGCATGGACTATTACCGGCATACCACAACCCGCCCACCCTTCACATATGCTGCCCTGATTTGTTGGGTAAGTTATTGCAAAATATGCCAACTTCACACAAATAGCAATTTTGACTATGACTATTTTAAAACAGGATGCATACTTTTGCAAGCTCATTCTCCTCCAATCCTACTTCCTTAGAGTACTGAATGCACTTGCAAATGATGCTGTTTCCCCCTATGCTCTTACCATACACATTTTCTCTTCCTAGCTACAGCAGTATCCCATATCCCCAAATATGTATTCTCTGTATTTAAAAAAGTCACATTTTACCAATATCTATTTTTGTAAGCAGCAGCTTCAGGTGTTACAAAACTGCAAAAGTCTCTTTAAACAGGTTGTTTGAGGGTGATAAAAATAATATTGGGACAAAGAGGCTGCTGGTTTTCCTTTGTACACAAACACACCAATGTCCCTTTCAATAAAGAGGTATGCTATGAAGTACTGATGCTATGATTTGCAGGCCATTCTAGAATCTCCCAAGAAACAACTCAGCCTGAGTGAAATTTACCGTTGGTTCAACAATTTTGGCTACTTCAGACACAACACTCCTACCTGGAAGGTGAGCTGATCTCAGGTTTGAACTCAAAAGAGAAAAGATGAAACTGAAGTTTGTGGGAAAAGCGGTGCTTCCATATGAAATTGGCAGGAAAAACCCAAGTAACAGAAAAGAGAAAGAAACGTGCCCGAATTAACTTCAGAATTTGGAAATAAGCCTCTCCTAAGTATTTCAGTTCAAAATATAAACAAATCACAGAAACACACCTAACTGATTATGATCAGTGTAAGTCACTTCTAGGCAAGATTTGTGACAAACAAGTGTAATAAATAAATAAATAATAATATTGGAAATTGAATATAAAATACGAGGAAGGAATACCCCGAAACAATTGGGCATGACTTAGAACTATACAGAAAAAACTTCAGAAATAGTGAAGATAATTGATTCTACCCTACGTAAGAATGAAACATCTCATCTGCATGCAAATGGTGCTAGGTACCAAAGTCTTAGCATTCCTGGAAAGCAAAGCCATGTTTTGCTTTAAACGACTATAATCAATCCAAATGGGGCATACTGGGGACAGGGAGACCAACGATCTGATTTGGTAAGAGGCAGCTGTGGTTATAGAATGTTACCTAGTTCTGTAATAGACCCTAAACATATTCTTGCTAACGATTTATAGATGATTTGCTTTATAAATTAAGTTCAGAACAAGTTAAGATCAAAATTAAGGGGTTGAAAAGCCAATAAAGGAGCATTAAGACCAGACTGTAAAAAGAATATTGGGGTATCTACCTGTTGAAAGCATGGGAAAGGTGAGAGATTTTGGAAGTCAACCTGAATGAAGACTCTGGCTTGTTTAACCATCATTGTCCTTCTTCAATCCACAGAATGCTATTCGACACAATCTGAGCTTGCACAAATGCTTTGTGCGAGTGGAAAATGTCAAGGGAGCTGTCTGGACAGTGGATGAACTTGAGTATCAGAAGAAAAGGAGCCAGCGTTGTGCTACTTATCCATACCCAGTTCTGCTCAACCAAGGCATAGGTGATTCTGTTGCACCATTCGACCCCACTGGTCAGCCAAGAACACGTCTTCCCACTTTTCTGGTTTCCCAGAAACCCCTGTGAGCTGAGCTGACTCTCCCCCATCACACACAAAGACAGCAGTGTTCAAGACCTTGTTTCCAAGCTATATGGACGCAGAAGCATCACATTTGGAGGCAGAGCATTTTGAAGTAGAGACAGCCTAAACCAGTCACGCACTGCAGCGTTGTGTTAATTCACAGCAGCAGTCCTAGTATTCTGAATAAAGAAAAGGGAAAAGGGGGGATTTTATTGTGTTTTTAGGAGAAAAGGAACAAGGGCCTTGTTTGAAATAATAAATGGAGGAAAGAATGTCCCCATTGCATATCTGTTTCCCTAATATAGACACAAAGGCTTCTACATTGTGTTCGAAATGTGCTGCATTTTGACTGGGTTTTTGCAGAGCCTGGAAGAATGAGCCCTGCTCACTCTCCCCACTTTTTCTGGCTAGAGGCACAGTAGAGTCTTAATGAAATGAGCTTGGTTGGACCCTTGAACCATCTAGAATTGTGTATCAAGATGGGATCTTCATGTCTCTCGGGAACGGCTGAGCAGTGATATATTTTCCTGCTTTATGGCCCGATAATCTCCAAGGATCCTCTCCAAATTGCTCAGGGTTTTCTTGCTGGTTTCACTCTCAATCTGGAAAGGGGAAAGAAACAAACGGGGCCATTATTTTAGATAGGAGGCATGCCCGCACACTCTGCAATCCATCATGCTGAATTAATCCATCAAAAACAGAGAAAAAAGATTGAAAATAATGGCATTCTGTTCCCCAAGTGTCACTCTCAGACCAGCAGACACCTTTTCTAAAATTATATTTTTATCCTTAATTATTACAGCTTTCTTTGACCATAAAAGAGATAGGGATATATAGAAAAGATTTTGAAAACCTTTTAGTTGGTGGGAGAACTTCATTTAAATTTTATTTTTATGGCATGATTATCTTTGGCTGTCAAGTGCTGTCATAACAGAATGGTTAAATATCCAAGTGGCAGCACCAGCATTTCCAAACTATTCAGGAGGATGGTGGTGTTGGTTTTGGTGACCTTATAGCTCAGTGGTTCTCAACCTGTGGGTCGGGACCCCATTTGGGGTCGAACGACCATTTCACGGGGGTGGCCAAACAAGGCTGTCCGCCATTTTTCCCCCCTTTTCTTTGGCCACGCCCCTGGCACCTGGTGATGTATAAGTGGTTGGGGGTCACCACAACATGGGGAACTGTATTATGGGGTCGCGACATTAGAAAGGTTGAGAACCACTGTTATAGCCCAAACCAAAGGTGATTTCCATAGCTTTTCATTATAGCTTTGATGCCAGCATCAAAAACCTTTTGGTAGTTTGCCATCAAAATTCAGTGGTTAGAATTTAGGGGGTTAGAGGATTCTATGATTTGCCATGCCTGTCTTGGAAGATCTGTTGTGATATTGCCAGGCTAATCATGTATCTAAAATTACAAATGCTTATCAGGGAAAAAAATAGTGCTTCCTCTACTTTTGCTTTTCTAATTAAGGGTTAAGAAAATTATTAAAAAAAAACCTGATTTCACTTTTATTCCTAAGGTTTGTGGGTTTTTTTTTTGTTTTGTTTTGTTTTGTTTTGCTAAATCAGGTTATGTTACGAACCCTTACCAAAACCTTAGATTTGAGGTTCCCAAACTGTGCACCACATGGCATCATAAAGCAAACTCACAGGGCACTGTGGGATATTTTACCACTTAATAAATGGATCTATTAATGAATTTATTGTGATGCCTGGGGCAACTCAGCACCCGATCTGGAACTGCTAAGGGTGCCACGAACCTAAAATGTCTGAGACTGTCTACGATAGACAAACATAAAAGGATTAATAGACATTGCTGTATAGGAAACTTAATTACTCAAAAAGCAGACAATATACACTACAAGATATAAAGACAGAACCTTCAATTCCTAGGGTCATAATCTTATTCCTGCTTAATGAAGAGAAAAATGAAACCAAGCAGGCAGTCGAGGTCAAACTTCTGATCTAGGACGATTCTGGCTTTTTAATAGCTGCCTCTATAATGACACTGGGCTTTTCATTAAAAAATAACCAAGGATATTGGTTGTTATCCCCAATTTTAGCTGAACGTATTAGGGGATTGCAGAATCAGAAAGCAACACAAATTATTAGTGAAATACATCATATTTTATACAGAGTTTAGAGAGGCTTTCACACATATTCTCTCACAAAACAATGAGGAAGGAGGGATAGAGCATCATGAGAAATCTATCAGAAAGGTAGAAGGGCAGCTATCTCTACACAAAAGAGCAACTGTTTAACAGCTATTTTATTTCAAGGAATGAAATGAACAGCTGTCCATATACTGAAACTAACGAATTTCAAATATGTACAAAGAGTGATAACGGTGTGAAAGCCATAGTGGTTTCCTTCTGCCATCTGTATTTCAAGTCAGACTCACCTGTTCCTCAAGATCCCGGATTTCTCGCAAGATGGTACCTGTGTCCTCAATAGTCTGGATCAGCTGACTGCAATTCTAAGGGAGGCAGAAATGGCAGCTTCAGCTGGGAAAGGTCCCAAATAGATATATTGCAATGTGGACCATCTTGGATGTATGACAAGTTAACTTTTATCAAAGGGCACATATTAGAAATATCCTTATAAGTTTATATAGCAGTGGTGGCGAACCTATGGCACAGGTGCCAGAGGCGGCACTCAGAGCCCTCTCTGTGGGCACGCGCGCCATTGCCCCAGTCCTAGGCCTTCAGCTGGGTTTTATAAAACCTTTTTGCTTTAGGCCTCCGCCGTGTGCAAAAAAAAAAAAAAAAAGGTCCAATCAGTCAATTTCAACTTCTTGCAGGGAAAATAAAAGATCTTGCAAAGATGAAATTGATTGATCAAACTTTTTAGTCCCACCCAGTTTGCCGTTACCACCATGGCCATGCCCATCCAATGGGCCACGCCCACCCAATGGGTTATACTCACCCGGCACTTGACGATGCATAAGTGGGTTTTGGGTTGCAGTTTGGGCACTCGGTCTCTAAAAGGTTTGCCATCACTGTTATATAGCCACATCACATATCTGCCCTCATACCGTGATTGTGTAGTGTTTCGTAGGACTATCTTTCAAGCTGTCCAGAAATGTGACTGATATGCAAAGCATCCGCACCTGGATGCTAAACAGTACTCAGTGTAAAAATTCCAATATATCAGTCCTGAAATACCCAACTGCAAAGTATTTACTGGGCTCAAATTAAGATCCTGGCTTTAAGCCTTAATGCTTGCAGCCAGACTATGGTAGGGACTGCTGGCCTCATTGCTCAACCCTCCCAGATGGTTCACTTGTATGGCCCATAGCCAAGACACCTCTTCTGCATTATCTTCAAACAGTGGCAGGACTTTCCTGGAGGAATGGCATGAGCATGGCAACTTGTGGCCCTTGGCTTATTTACAAGTATCTTTTGCAAGCAAGCCATTTGGTGCTCTCTAAAAGATAACAGACCCTTCCCTAGCAACCTCCAGGAGGAAAACTGAAGAGAGAGTTTGAAAGATAGAAAGGGAGGGGAAAAAAGAGTGTAGGGAAGATAAAAAGAAGGATATCAGAGCAGAAAGGTACCTCTATCCATTATGCCCTTTGTTCCCCCCTTTGTGCCTTTCTAGGAAATAAGCCGCTGTTCTCTTACAGGGATTTCTCTTCTCAATGTCAAAAGGCACTAAGACTTATCGCCATTCCTTCTACTGTTTCCATTGTAGTTCTAATATTCTAAAGTTAGCTTTGTGTTGTTTTTGGCTGATTATTTTCCCTTTAAAAGGCAGCATAAAAATAATATATTTCTCTCACACACATACTCTACTGCATATTATTGTGATAGAAAACCTCTCACCTCATGCAAAGCTGCCAAATACTTATACGCCTTCCTCACAGCTTCATCCCGCTTGGCATCCTGTGGAAAGAGACAAGGGGAAGGAATTCTTCAAAGTGCTGCTTAGGTGCCCTCCTACCCTTTTCTGATCCCTAGCCATTACCTTAAAAACCAGTTCATCGGTGACAGCAAAAGTCCGGTCTAGCTTCCCAGCAAGGCTATTAATCTCCTTTTGGAGCTCCTTGGTGTCGTGTAAGATCTTGGAAAGGAAAAGCAAATAGCCACACATTAAACCTGCAGCAAAGTTTTGCAAATGAGGAATTAACACATTTACTAATTGTCAATAAGAAATCTTTGAACAATGCTAAAATAATAGCAGCAATTATTGTAAACACTGTTAGGTGAAGGGCCTTCCTGATCATTAAAGCTCACTAGAATAGCCTTTGTTCAATGTAGACTGGCACAGATTGAGGGCTCTGTTGCATTCAAGAGGAGCAAAAGACAGTGAAGTTTAGACAGTTTGGTTGGAAAGAAGAGAGATAATTCCCTAGGAGTTCTCAAAGTATATCTTTAATGATGCAAGTAGTTTACTTTAATTTGGCAAGATTTTTATCTATACATGAGGAGCAGGAAATGGTTAGAAGAACCTCAGTGTGGGTTTTTTTGGGGGGGAGGTGGAGTCTTGATACTACTATAGTTTTACAATTAAAAGATGGCATGGGTCTACATGATACTGGATTCCTTGGCTGACCTATCCTGAAGTGCTAACATTTTATCACTCCTGTGGGCTCTTTCGGGCTGTGAGAATGTGATTAGACCCAAATCACCTATGAGCAACACGAGAGAGTGGACACTTAAGCCTGGCACTTTCTCAGCGGCCATGCCTGTCCTATACTTCTTGCCAATAGAAGCCACGGAGTAGTTGTAAGATGTACAAAGAGATTTTCATACATTCCTCTTGGAACCCAGCCAGGTGAAATGACAGATAATGAGAAAATCATTTATCATACACACTGGACTCAGCCAAAGTGAAGAAGAGTCAGACCACAATGAGTTTTTGCACAGAAGGAATTGGAAACCGTCTGCGCATAGCTGGGCATTATCCTTGTATACATACGCCTGTTTCTTTGCCTCTTACCTCTAAGGGAGGCAGATATGGGGGTGATATGCTTTATGCCTTATCAGTAATGCACTGTTACTCACTTCAGTCATGCTAAAGTGG